TTTTTTTTTTTTTTTTTTGGTACTGGGGATCAAACTCAGGTCCTTGCACTTGTGAGGCAGGCAGTGGAACCACTGGGCTAAATCTCCGGCAGCTTCTCTATTTTTTTAATCTGTGTCCACTCTAGATTTATTAATCATGTCTTGTACTATGGGCATAATTTCTACTATTGTGTGAGAAATTATTTCTGATTTCCTTTTCTCAATCCTCTTTTGTGGCCAGTTCAGTGATTCTAAACCATTGAGTATCATTTTTTTCCATCTTGTTGCCCTTTGGGTTGCCTTAGGTGATCTGAAAGTCTGGTTTTGAGACTTATTTATGTGTCTTCTCATTTCAAGAGATGCAGCCTGCTGTGCCTTTGTTGAGGTGACTTTTTGCTCACCCAGTGGTCTTCAATTCTCAGCAAGCCACGGAGCAGCCTTTACTCTGCTGCTCACCAGTACACCAATTCCTGGTTTCAGAGTCATGGCCTTCTAGATCCCTGAGCTGACGTGTTGTCTGGACCGGCTTCTGGCTGGGCCCTGAGCACAGTTGGGATGGTATCTAGGCATGCCTCTTGCTGGGACCTCTCTATGTAGCTGTTGTCTGGTAGGGCCTTTGGCTGGATGCTGTTCACCACAGTTCCTGTTTTCTGCACAGGCTTCTGGCTAGGGTCTCCATGGACTTATCAATGGTATCAGGGCGAGCCTCTGGCTGTTGCTTGTGTGCCTGTGTAGCTATTTTCCAGGTGGGCCCTTGGCTGTGGCCAGTGGTATGGGGGGCCTCCGGCTGAAGCTTGTGGGCCTGTGCAGCTCTTTGCTGGGTGGACCTTTGGCTTGGGTGGGTGTCCCAGAACCTCTGGGGTTGGGAGTGAGCCCTGGCTGGGATCTACCTGCAGCCCTGCTATTCTGATACACACAGCTGCTTCCTGGGATCTGCAGTCACTTACTGATCCTCTGTGTATAATTTTGATGAATATTCTCATAAAGTGGAAAAATTGTATAGTGTTCCTTAATAACTAGTGAATGTTGTTCTTTATTAAATTGTATCACCAGTCTGCATAGTTCTAGATTCTGTGGCAAATGGATTATCTCTGACCTGCTTTCTTAGCTGTTATATTGGCAGCATAAACTGAAATATGTCTTTGTTATTAAAATCACAATGACCACTTTATTTCAGTCTTACCAACAGTAGGCAGAGAGACGATACCTCTTGTTAATGATCTCCATGGACCTGATTATACTAAGCCTCCTTTAATTATTTCATCATACTCTAGTGGCTTTCAATATTTTTATTTATGTTCCTTAGCATGAATAAAAATAATTTCAGAAGATGGTTTCTCCCAGTCTTACAAGAAATTCATTCATCTAATTTCAGGTCCATAGAATGTTTCACTATGTTTCCTCAATTTAGAAAGATTGTCCTATTCAAGTGTGGTGGTGCACACCTATAATCCTAACACTTTAAAAGGCTGAGACAGGAAGATCACATGTTTGAGCTCAGCCTGGGTAATTTAATGATCTAGTGAGATCCTGTCTCAAAATACAAAATAAAAAAAGCAAAAGGGCTGGGAATGTAGCTTCATGCAAAGGTCTTTGGTTCAATCCCTAGTTTCATGGAGAAGAAAAAGAAGGAGAAGAAGAAGGAGGAGGAAAATAAGGAGGAGGAGGAGGAGGAAGGTTTGTTGTTTTTTGCTTGTGAAAACAAGTCACTTAAGAAAAAATTACCCCTCTAATTGGTCAGAATGCATTACTTAAAATGAAGATTTCTCCTAGCTCATTGTGGAATTTCACTTATACCAATGAGGAAAAGTATAACAGCATCCACATGCATTGATTTATTTTGTGTTATAATAAAAACTAAAGTTTTATACTCATTATGTATGAGTATATAATGTTTATATACTCATTTCATAAGAAATATTATTTATATCTCTGCCATGCAACTATTGTGGCTTATGTTTGGATGTCCCCTCAAAGCTTCATACAGCTGAGGTGGGGCTTTCTTTTTCATAGATGGGTGAATCTAGAGTGTGTGATGGTAGGATTAAGGGCATGTGACTACTAAATCAGTACATGTGAGTGATTGGTTTGACACCACCCTAATCCTGCTAGTCTGAACAAAATAAAAGGAAAAGAAAGGTGTTAAGGTCTCCTGTTGCTTTTTCTTTCTTCCACCACCATGAACTGTTGCCCCTCTGCCACCCTGCCTTGCTTGGAGCTAGCCGATTATGGACTGAAACCTCTGTAAATTGTAAGCCAGATAAACCTTTTCCTTTTAACTTTGATATGAGATATTTTTTGTCAGCAAGAGAAAAGTAACTAAGACAGCATCCAATTCCAACAGCTTCCAGATATGAGAACAAGGCCCATATACCACAATGGAAGCCTATAGGAATTATAAATATGCTTCTGTTTCTCCTAGACAGAAGAGAATAAGTAGTATTACTAAATATCACTAAACAATATTATAGTTTTACAACAAAACTTGAGACTTAGTAGACAAAAAATGATATCATGCATAAAATGATAGTTTTTGAGTTGGGCTACTCCTTGGCATTCTTCTAGTCTGATTTCAACACTCAGCAGGTATGAAAAATAGTGCTGAGCTTGACACTCTCAGTTCAATCTAGAGTCCCCCATTTTGGAGGCATGGAAGGAGTAGAGGGCAGAGCCATAGCCTGTGTGGGAAAGATGGACACACTGGCTAGTTTCTTCAGGGGGAGGAAGAGGATTGACGAAGGCAACACATCAAATGCCTAGTATCTAGTGTTTCCAGGAATGAAGGTGATATGAAGATGGAGTAGTGGTGACTTTCAACTTTGTCCTTTTGGGTTGCTATAATAAAATACCATAAGTTTGGTTGTTTATAAACAAAAGAAATTGATTTCTTACAGTTCTGCAGACTGGGAAGTACAAGGTCAAGATGCCAGCAGGCTTGGTCTCTGGTTCAAAGATGGCACCTGTCTTGTTGCTTTGTGATCAGTGCAAGCAGAAGGAAGGCTACTTCCTCACACTGGAGAAGAACAGAAGAGAGAAACCACTGCACAGGCCCTTCTCACAGTTCCATGAATCTAGTTATGAGGTCAGAGCCCTGTGACCCACACACCTCTTTTATGCCCCACCTCCCAAATACCATTACATCCGGGACTAGATTTCCAACACATTCAGACTATGACAAGGCAAATCGAGTCTGGAAAACTAACTGTAAAAGTCCTCCATTTTTAACCAAAGTAAAGAAAAGAAATATAGCTTTCTGTTAAAATATCAGGATTCTGTAGCATAAGATCACCATTTCTAAAAAGTATTTCTTGCCTGGTATACATGTGTATTCTGAGTAATAGTGCCTTTATTGAAGTTGGAACCATGACTACCTGATGAATACATAGCCTATATGTCCTGGAGGTGGCACAGATGTTCCATCTGGAAGTAAGTATGTCATGACGCATCACCCTTCTTCTAGGTAAATACAGTATCCCAAAGGAACTGCTCACACATGCCCTTTAGGAAACAGGTACACATTGCAAAATTGTGTGTGGTAGCAGCAAGAAGAGGCTAGATTTCAGGAAGTCGTTCAGGGTGAAAAGTAAAAAACAAAATGAGAACTATAGTTCTCATATAGTCTTTCATGTCTTTATGAGATGTGGTAAAAAATACAATGAGTGCTGCTGCCATGTACCATCCAACGGAAAGGCAGGCTTGTAAAAACATCAATCACTGCATTGTTGTCCTGCACCTTATTCACCATTCACCATACTGTGAGTGGTGTTAAAATGACCGGGAAAGGTAAAGGTTTTGATTCAATTCAGGGCGTCAAGGAAGCCAAGAGAGTGCAACTAAAACACCCATGAAGGAGGACTTTCAGAACTGCTTCAGAAAATGGCAAGCAGGAAGGAACAAATGTGTTTGGGAAGGTATTTTGGCAATGTGTCTTTTACTGCAGTAAATATTTTTAATTTAAACTCACTATTTTTAGACCACACCTCCTATTAGTCATTAATATGTGGAGGGATTTGGAGATTAAAATGAGTTAAAAAGAACAAGCTAATGAAATACTTGTAAGGCAAGAAATACATCTGGCAAAAATGATTGAAAATTATCTGCCATGAATTGAAGAATACAATTTATTTCAGCTTTCATGTTTGAGGTCAAAAGAAGAGTAGGGAGCAAGGGGAGAAGGAAGGAGGGAAGAGGAAGTAAAAGGGAGGGAGAAAGTTTACTAATAACACCTTATTGGATTCTCTGATTTCAGAAGAAGATGAATTGAGAGATGCAGAACATGCCCTGTAGAATTTTACAGTTTACTGAACAGTTCATAAGAAGGCCATAAATATTCATTGTCTTTGCTACTTCACTTTTGCTTGCCTGTCCCCTTTCACATAAAATAAACTAAAAATAAGGCTCTTTGGATTACTATTGAGAGGGATTATTATTGAGAAGAGAGGGATGAAAGGAGCCCATCTTTAGGGAAAGGGGTCTTAGCGTGTTCCTGTAATATTCTATATGTGTTGCCACATTCTTCAATTCACTAAAAAATTCACTTCAATTCACTTCAATTCACTATAACATTTCATTTATTATATTTAAGGAGCATATTTATCCTATTAGAGAATATTCCTGTATGCCAAGCTATACCTTGGAACTGAGTAACTGAAAAATATATTATGGCTTATTTTAAAAAGAATTTAAAACAGAAAAGTTGTAAGCACTGATCACACAAAATGGAAGAGATTTGAGGAAATAGTTTAGAGAAGTGAGACAGGAAATGTAATGGAGGGTGAAGTGTCAGTTCTTTTTACTCCTTGTGGCAGCCTAGGTGCTGTCTCTGAGGCCCCCAGCTGGCTTACTCTGGGCAGGACCTTGGCCTTGACAGAGGCTCCTCCCTAGGGCAACTTTCACCCAGAAAGCAGGGTCCTGTGTGGTGTGTGCCCCGTGCCTCAGGAAGACAGCTCCGAGGTCTTGCCAAGCTTCTCTGTGGGTCCACTGTGGAGCCATTGGATAACTCCACATTCCAAGTCTACTCTGACATCACAGGGGGCCCCAAGAGCCCACTCCATTGGAGCTCCACTACTTGGCTCTCCACAGGCTTTGTCTCCAGGGCAGCTAGACCCAAAGAATTACCGATGAAGAAAAGGAAACACTTATGATGTCTCAGTGCCCTGACCCCTACACAGCAACCCCACATTAGTTCTATAAGACAGTAACTGTCATAGTCACACTAATGACTCCACTAGTAATAGAATGGCTAGGTTTGTATCAGACACCTGATTAAACTACGGAGTTAGAGACTAGCAGGACATAGCCCCAGGTTTGGAGAATCTTGAGATGAGTAAAATTTCTAGATAATTATTAAAAGCAAATTGCCTTTTATCTATATATTTTTGTCTTCGATATGACTCTTCCTAGTCCCAAGATGTTGAGAGAGTCAGTAAATCCCTGGAATTATATACAGTACTAATATACTGGCTTTGTTTCTCTCTCTCTCTCTCTCTCTCTCTCTCTCTCTCTCTCTCTCTC